GACAAATCGTGATAAAATTCAAATAAAAATAACAAGAACATTTTAGAATCTTAGATATTCCACATGTTTCTCTATAAATAGGTGGAAACTACTTTTTTCCAGACAATCATGTCTAGTAATAAATACGCTATTGCTAAACACACAAAAATTGCTGATAGAATTTATGTTGACCATGTTGTTAAAAAGGATGAAATAGATAAAATTCTTGATGACATGTTTGATTTTGATGAAGTTGATTTTGATATTAACTCATCTAGTTCTTCTGAGGCTATTGAAGAAAAACAGCCGCTTTCATGTTCTTTTACGCAGTTGTCTTTATAGATTCAGATTTTTATGTAATTCACATCAACAATGATTTTTGGAAGATTTTCATTTTGTCTTTTTTTTTAAAATAGAATTACTACTTTTTAATTTATTTTGTGACAATTCTCAAAACTAACATCCTATTATTCTGTTTTTTTAAATAGAAAATTGGAACATTTTATAGATAATACGTTATAACGATATTATTCACTAGTTTAAAATCCTATTTATAAAACAAAACCATAAAATTATAAACATTACTTTTTTATGTAATGTCATTTTAGTTACAAATTTAACTCTTCACATTATTGGTATTGTTGTGTCTTATTTTTAGAACTGAATTCTTAATAATTTATTACTAAATAAATTCTAAAACCTTCCTTTTAGATACACAAAATTTATTTTTTGTTGTAAAGAAATATTGAAAATATCTTAACATATTATCTTTCAAAAAAATGAAACTATTTCCGCTAACTATGAATGTAGTTTATTTTTCTTTTACTAATTTCTTTAGATTCAATAACATTATCTTTAAAATAAAAAAAAGTTGTAACTAAACAATAATCAACAAATTTTATTTGTAGCACAAATTTGTATTTACCAATCTAAAAAAATATTAATGTATCACTTTTATCTATTTTTACACTTCTAAACTAATACAAACAATTTTTTGTTATAAATCTTTTGTAAAGTTTACATCATCTTTTTTTTGAAGCACTTGATAATTCAGCAATTAGAATTGATTATTTAACATTTAGACATAAAAAACAAAATTATGACTAAAATAGTTTATATATATGAAATATAAGTATATTATACAAATTATATGAATAAGTAAGATATACAAGAAAATATTTGAATTAAATTGTACATTAACTGTACAAACGAAAATTTTTTTTCAAGAAAAACGCTTAACATTAATTTTTCATAAAAATAATTTTATGGATAAATAACATTTTATAAAAAAATATTTTTTATAAAATGTTATTTTAAAAAATAGAAGAAAAAGAAAAATAATATTATGAATAATAAAAAAGAATAATAAAAAAAGAAAACCCTTGAAAAAAAGAAAAAAGAGGGTAATAAGATCAAGAGAAACTGCATATTTCCAAAGCCAAGTCACAGCCATGGGAAGGTTTGTAGTTTTAATAATTAATAATAAAAAATGATAAAAGAAAAATAAAGAAAACTAAAAGAATAGAATGTACAATCCAGGTAGAGGTATTAGCAGAAGATGCATTCCATACAGAAGAAGTGCACCATCATGGTTAAAAACAAGTACACTTGAAGTAATTGATGAAATGTGCAAACTTGCTAAAAAAGGAATTGCCCCATCACAAATTGGAGCAATTATGAGAGATACTCATGGAGTTGGATTAGTTAAGAGTGTAACAGGATCAAAAGTACTTAGAATTCTTAAACTTGCAGGACTTGCACCAAAAATTCCAGAAGATCTTTATTTCTTAATGAAGAGAGCTGTTTCAGTTAGAAAACATCTTGAAAAGAATAAGAAAGATAAAGATGCTAAGTATCATTTGATTCTTATTGAATCTAAGATTCACCGATTAACAAGATACTATAAATCAGCTAAAGTACTTGAAGCATCATTCAAATATGATGCTAATACAGCTTCTGCTATCGTTTCTTAATTTCGTTAAAGTGAAGATTTGGTTTATTTAGTAATTTTTAAATTTGTTTTTTTTTGTTAATAAAAAAAAATAATAAAAAATTAAAGAAAAAGAATTAATTTAATTTTCTCCAAACACAGGAATTAGCTTTAACTCCTGAACCAAATGCTAATTGAAGTACTCTGTCATTCTTTTGTAATAGTTCGCATCTTTCAAGAAACATAAATTCATACCAGATTGATGCTGATGATGTATTACCAAAACGACATAATCCTGCACGAGATGGCATACAATCTTCATCAGTCAAATTAAACTTCTTTTGAACTGCATCAATAACCCCTCTTCCACCAGCATGAATACAAAACCCTTGAAAAGCTTTTCTTACATCTAAATTACATGTAACTTCTTCATTTTCTTTAGCAAAGAATTTTTTTACTGAATATGCTATCTTAGAAAAAAGTGGAAGATATTTAGGAAATAGTATCTTTACATTTTCATCAATAACATCTGATATATAATTAATTAATGTTCTTCCTATAGAGACTCCATCTGAACCAGTCTCATCTTCATCATGAAAAATAACTTTATAAGCATTATCATCAATGGCATTGTGAATTCTAACTGTTTCTTCCATTTCATACTTACATTTTTTAATTAATGATTTCTTATTAGTTAAAAGAATAGCAGCTCCACCAGATCTAAATAAAGTGAAAAACATTAATTTAGATTTATCTGAACCAACATAGGTAGGTGCAGTAATATTTTCTGTAGAAAATACTAAAACAGTACTATTAGGATGACTGTATAAGAAGTCTTTAGCTAAATCGCATGATATAACACCTGCAGAACATCCCATTCCTCCAAGATGCCAATTTTTACAAGTTTGTTTCATTTTGTATTTATTCATTAACATAGCACCTATTGATGGAGTTGGGTTGAATATAGAACAGTTAGTAATAACACAGTCTACATCTTTAGTAGGATCAATCTTAGTTTGTTCAAATAATTTATCACAACAAGCTTTCATTACAGTTTCTACTTCTTCACGAGCAAGTGCCATTGACTTTGGGACATAATTTTCTCCATGGTACATCTTTGGAAGATGTGTATGTTGACCTAATCCTGTTACTTTAGCTACTCTAATTACAAAGTCTGAACATTCTTTATCTAAAACATTTGCTATAGGACCAAGACATTCTTCTGCAGTACATTCATATTCAGGACCAAGTTCTGCAACTGTAAAATCAAGTAAATATACATGCTTATCAGAAACAAAATAATACATTGTAAAAGCAACCCCAATAATACATGAAATAACAGTAACAACTAATGCAATAATATTTTGTTCATCAAATAGTGGAGCATTTTTGAATAAAGAAGCAACGAAAGAAGCATATAAAGCAACACAAGTGAAAAATAATAACTTAGGAGTTTGTTCTAAGAAGATAACCAGAGGAGATGGATGAATAATATTTTTCTTTAGTTTAGGTAAAATTTCATTTTGTTCTCCTTGTTGAGAAGGGTACCAATAATTTGCTTGTTCAACAGACATCAAAGGTATATTCAAATCTACTAGTTCTTCTTTCTTTTTATATCACAACAGACAATCAGGTTTTTTGTCTGTCTAGTTTAGCAGAATAGTTATGTAAAACAATGAAAATTAGTTATTCCTGTTATAAAATTAAGAAAAAGAATTTGACTATTCATTCATCTATATGACTATTTTTAAGACAATTCGAATTGAAATTATCATTTTTCACTTCTTTTTTATTGATTATCAACTAGGGTTCAATATTTGTTTCAAAGAAATTGATTCAATATTAATTACAATAAAATTCTCTATTACTTCTTATTGGTAGTTCATTCATTATAACTACTGAATTGAAACTTCATTTTTATTTTTATGTTTTTCCTACTGAATAAATGAGCTAAAAAAATCAAAACATTTTTTGTTTTATATAACGTATAATAAATAACAAAAGAAAGATATGAACAATTAATTCTTTTAATTTATTGATGGAAGAACAAAACCAAATAATACCAATGAAATACTTTCAATACCTTCAAGAAAAATTATTAAAATTTAATCCTCAAACAAATGAAAATTGTCTTTGTGCAGGAGAAATAACAGATATTATATCAACAGTAATTCCTATACTTGAAAATGAACCAACACTATTAGAATTATCACCTCCAATCAATATTATTGGAGATATTCATGGATGTTTTAATGAAATGGTTGAGTTATTAAAGAAAACAGTAATTCCAAATGCTTCATTTTTATTTCTTGGAGATTATATTGATAGAGGGAAATTTGGTATAGAAGTTATGTGTTTATTATACTTATTTAAAATACAATTTCCTAACCAATTTTTTCTTTTAAGGGGGAATCATGAATCGTTTTCAGTTTCTAGTAGAATGGGAGTAGCATCATTTCATCAACAATGTTTGTTTTATCATGTTATTTTGGTAATAATAGTATTGACAAAATAATAGGTGTTCATCGATATTCTGAAATTATTTCATTTCATTTTTTTAATAGTTTTAACTACCTTCCTATTGCATGTTTAGTAGATCACTCAATGTTATGTCTTCATGCAGGTATTTCTCCTGACCTTAAAAATATTGGTCAATTAAAAAAAATACATCGTCCAATAGAAATACCTGAACGAGGATTGTTATTTGATATTTTATGGTCTGATCCTTTTATTCCTCAAACAAGCACCACTGATAATAAAACAGATATTGACTATAATGGGTTTATTCCAAATACAAATCGTCAATGTTCATATTTTTTTGGACAAAAAGCACTTGATACATTTCTTCAACAAAACCAATTAAAATATTTATGTAGAGGACATCAAGTTGCAGATGGATTTCAATTATCAATGAATAATAAATGTATTACTGTTTTTAGTTGTCCTGGATATGGAACAAATAATAGAGCTGGAATGCTTGTTATAAATAAAGGATTTAAGTGTCAATTTGTATATTCCAAATAAAAAGAAATTTATTATAAAAGGTGGGAATTAAATTTATTATCACAAAACAAAATATTTAAAAAAGCACTCAATGAACCTCTAATATTAATTTAATACCTCCAAGAATTATTAATAAAACAACAACGTAAATGGGAAGGAATTTAATCATTACTGATTTTCTATCTATGGATTGTATTGGTTTTATTGTTTGTGATAACGTTCCATTAACAAAACACTTACCATCACTTTGAATATCATCAATAGACCCTTCAACAGAAACGTTATTTACTCCAAATAATGTTAATTGTTGAACAGTTTTTAAGTGAATATTTTGCAATGGAGAATCAATGACCTTCATAAGAAGAACGTTTTCTGCTTTAATTTCTTTAAGGTTATCACAACAAACTATATCAACAATATTCATTGATTCTGCTGCCTTTAAGTCAATTGTTGTAATATTTTTTGAGTATTGAATATATAATTTCTTTAATTTGTTCTTAGCAACATATTCAGGAAATCCAAATGGTTGTTCAACTTCAAGTTCTTCACAACTATCAACTGGAACGTATGAACGAATAATAGAAATGTTTTTTGCATGTAAGTCAATTGTTTTTAATTTACCAGTTATAAGAATAGAATTAAAAATGAATGATTTCATCTTTAATATTTTGTCATGTTCTCCACTTGCTTTTAATTTAAGATTCATTGGGAAATACAATTTCCATAATTGTGCTGAATAAAAATCAAATACAGATGCTTCAAATGATAAATATGTTCGTGTAACACCAGATGGTGTTGTAATTCGTTCTGGTAAAACAAAAGCCTTTTTTTGAATAAGAGATTCATTAATTTTGGAATTAAATCCACCTATTTTTATTTGAGGATTAATTACATACTTTTCCACTATTACTTCATCCAATCCATGAACTTCTAATATTATAGGAGTATTCTCAGGAATAAATTGAAGTAATTTATCAAAAAATACTAATAAAGGAGTATGTAATTCAATAATAAGTTTTTCTAATTTTAAATCTTTAATTCCAATAGCTAATGTAGTAAATGCTCTTACATACCACCCACTTCCAAATTTTATTCTAACTACTTTTGTTGTTGGAGGAACTTCAAGATTTTCATCCTCAAAAACTTCTTTGTTATAATAATTCTCTTCTTTATGTAATTCAATCTTTTCTTTATATTTCTTAGAAACTAATGCCAGTGATTGTATATCATCACAATACCGAATAAGATTAGCTACTTCTTCTCCAATAAAAGGTGTCATAATTATTATATTTTAGTTCTTTCAATTTGGGTTGAAGTACAACATGACGTGGCAAGTAGAAAAGGATTAATTAAGATAGCTCATTCTTCAATTATTTTTAAAAAATGTTATACAAAACATTTTAATTATTTTTATTTTTGAGAGCCTATAAATAAAACTATTTAAGTCATTTCTTACGTCTAACTATTACTAGTGGAGTGGGTTGTGTACGCTTAGGCTTTGTCTCATTCTCTTTCTTTGATAATAATGAAATACTTTTGGTGTTTTCTTTGTTTGAAATATTTCTTTTTCTTTCAAGGTTATTTCCTAAATTATTTCCAAACAATCTAAATGCTCGTTTGATTCCATCGCCAATAGCCATTTTCTTAGACATCTGGCAGGCAACACCACGGTCCTTGTCATATGATGTTGCAACACCAATATCCTCATGTGAAGTTCCATCTTTCAATTCTATTTTTACCTGAGCAGAAGAAGTAACTTCAAACTGACCATTTTCATATTCTATTGAATCTATAGAGAATGAAGTAATATAATTTGACCAACCATCATCACCAAATATATTATTTGCCATTTCTACAATTGTCCACCATGGAACATAACTAATAATTCTATTGTTTTCATTATCTTCCATCGTTTTAATGACATCTACAGGTGTATTCTTCTCTAACTGTCTTTGAATATCGGTATGATTATCAAACAACTCAAAACCAAAATGTGGTTTTATTTCATGAGACATATTTGTGTTATTTTTTGAGATTGTGTCTTTTCCTCAATAAAAGTTCAAAAATAACAGTTTTTTGTTATTTATGAATATATTGTGTTTTATATAAAAATAACAGATAAATGTATTAAATGTTTAAAGTTTTTAGAACTTAATGACGTGGATTTAAAAAAAGATAAATAGTAAAAATAATTATAAATAAATTATTTCAGAATAAAACCGAGATTAAAGAAAGAAATATAAAGGGAAACCCTGTATAAAATACTCAACAAATCAACCATGGCTATGATGAACACAATTATTACTGCTCAAGGAGAAGAATTTCCTCTCCAAGGAATGACTTTAGTTCTTAGACATCTTGCTCTTGAAGGTGATCAAAAGACTTCTGTTTATTTAATTACTAAGGATGAAGATGATAAAGAAGTTAAAGTTCTTCTTGCTACTCTTTCATCAGCTGTTCCACAACATTCATGTGAAATTCCAATCACTGGAGAAACTGTCAAATTAATTTGTGAAGGAAAAGCTAAAGTTCATGCTATTTTAACTCCAGAATTAGAAGAAGATTTTGATGATTTTGATATGGATGATATGTCTGAAGATGAAGATGACAATGGAGAATTTGCTGAAGAAGGTGACGAAGAAGAAGATGATGAAGATGAAAAACCAGTCGAAGCACCAAAGAAAGTAGAACCAAAGAAGGAAGAAAAGAAACCACAACAACCAAAGAAGGAAGAAAAGAAACCACAACAACCACCAAAGAAAGAGACTAAACCACAACAACATCAACAACCAAAAAAAGAAGAAAAGAAACCACAACAACCACCAAAGAAAGAGTTCAATAAGAAAGAAGGAAAGAAAATGAATAAGAAGAATAATAAAAAGCATTAAAATTGATTGATTTTTCTATTTAATTATTATTTTATTTTGTTAGAAAAAGAATGAAGCATTAATAAAAAGATTTTGATACAAAATGTATTTACTACTTTTAGTTATTCGTTTTCACTTCAAAAGAAAGAAAAAAGAAAAAACAAAGAGAACTTAGAAATTATTTAATATTCGTGTATTATGCAACAACTTGAACAACTAGAAAAACAACTTGAATTATTTGGGCAAAAGGTGAATGAAATGGGAGAGTCATTAAAGTCACTTTCTATCGTCCAAAATGGTACTGAAGAATTAATTAAAAAAACAAGGGCATTACGTGAAACATCACAAAAACATCATCAAGAATTATTAGAAGCATTAAATAGCCATCAACAAACTATTGAAAGACAAATTAGTGAAATTCGAATTGCAATGGGATGTGGTATTGCTGGTGAAAGAAGAAATCCATTGAGTGATGAGGACATTCAACGAATAGAAATTTTAACAGGAAAAACAGCTGGGGAAGTAATATATCAAGCTTCAGTTGATGGATTTAATAACAATAATTTCAATGAGAATGTTGGTGGAAAAGAATCAATTGTATTAGTTATATTTGATAGTGAAGGAAATGTGTTTGGTTCATATAATTCAAAACAAATTCCTGAAATAAAAAAAGAAGAAATAGAAACTATTCCAGCAAAAGGGTTGTATAATGACATTGACCACTTCTTATTTGTATTAAGAAAGAAAGGAGTTTCAGATGTAAGAAAATTTACAAGAAAAGCTGACGGATATTCATTATGGGTATTTGGTAGTATTGATAATCTTCTTTCAGTTAATGGCGCATTTGTTTTAGTAAATGAATGTAATAGGTCATTTGATTCATCTATTTCAGGAAATTTCCGAAGAGAATATGATGAAGACATGTTCATTGATAAAAAGAAATTTATGGTAAGAGATATTGTTGCTATTTCTTTTAATTAAACCTCCTTTCCTTCAAGTTTATTTGATAGTTGTTTTTATTATTTATTTATTATTCATTTTATCAATAATTTAATTAAAGAACTTTTCTAAAGAAATTTTACTTTTCATGTGGTGTTATATCAAATCATTATTCGGATTTCATCAACAACAACAAGACAACTGTCTTCTCTCTTCAATGTATGGACAGTCATATATTACAGTCCCTTCTGAACTTGCAACAACATTAACATTTTCACAATTAACCCTCCAACCTTCTCAACAAAAAATTAAAAAGGAAAAAATTACTTTGGACAAGGTGTATAACGAAGCTAAACCACAAAACCCAACGATTTCTCAACAAATAAGACGAGTTGGAAAAATATTTGCTGTGTTATCTGAAGACAGAAAAAAAGATATTTTAGATTTAATTAGTCCATCCTCTACAGTGATTATAAGCAACCCTAGACTTAGAATGAAAATGATTGAGAAAAGAATTAACCAAATGAATAAACGCATCAAACAACTTGAAGAAATACAAAAAGGAAAAGATGTTGAAACACAAAAAATAAAACTATAATTTATAATAAATAAAGTTATATTTTATTATTTTTTTATTTAAGAAAAATATGAAAGTAATAAAAAATAAACTAAAAATTAAATAAACAAGGGTATGAGTTCATTTAATACTTGTAGAATTCTTCCAAGCGTAGCAACTAAATTAATTGATATCTGCAATCGTTTGAAAGGAGAAAGTGTTGTTGGGTTATTGAGTGGACATCGTTCATTTGGAGAAATTTTTGATGTTATGGATATTATTCCAATTTCTACAGTTTGTTTTCTTTAAAATTCATTTATATTGTTATAACTTAACTTCTAACGATATTAAGAACCCTAATTGTCAAATCGACCCAGAAGAAATTATGAAAACCATCTCTTCTCATATTAAAGTATTTGACGAAGAGATGATTATCGGCTATTTCCAAGTAAGTTCAAATCTCCCCACTCCACAAATTACCAATTTACATAAGTTCTTCAATGAAGCACAAAAAATTCCATTGTTCATTGCTGCAGGATGTGATTCCACTTTTAAAATTGTAGCATATACTAGTACACTCCCAAGCGAAGATAAACCTGTTGAGTTTTCAACTACTGGTATTACATATCCTATTGACGTTCTTGATCGTATTGTTCTTGCTACTCCAGTTGAAATTATTAAGAATTGATTTTCAGTGTATTGAACTAAAATAATATGATTTTTAAATATAAAAAACAATTAAATTAACAATTAAATTTAGAAAAAAGAAGATAAATAATATACAATTAATTAAGTATAAATAGAAAAAGTTTCTTTTGTTCCTACCTTAAGGGAGACTAATCCAATCCCTTCTTCTAGCATTTCTACGGAGTATGTTTGATTGTGATTGAAGCAGTATTCAATGACATTAGTCATATTTTTAATGATAATGTTTTTAGTTTCTTTAACAATGTCAATTTCAATTTTTAATTCTTTAATTAATCTAATACTTTCTTTATTTATTATTCAATTTATTGAGATTATTTAATTTATTTAGACATCTTTTAATTTCTATTTTCCTTATTCTATTCTTTAATTCATTGTACTTATTTCTTTTCTTCATTTACACTACATTAATATTGTCATCAGCAACATTAGTCATATCAAATAATAGACTAGTTTTATTCTTTTTATCTATTACATATATGTCTGGTATTTTGTGATATTGTCCATCACTTTTAGGCATTATTTGTTTGTTCATATCATTGTGATGTCTTTATATTGGAACGTTGTTTCATATGAAGTGTTTTTTATATTTGTTATTTCATGTATATTTTCTTATTAATCCCTCCCATATTATAATGCCATTATTGTCATGTTTCTTCATTTGTGATTTATTATGACAAATACAAGATAGTAGAATATGTTCTACTGTAGTTATCTTGTCTTTACAAAGTGTTGAGTATTTCAATCGAAAAGAAATAACAACAAAATAATCCAAATAAAATTGATTTAAGAATAATGAAATATTTTAAATTTCACATGAGAATGAGCTTAATTCAAATGTACATAATATAGAAGTATATAACTATAATAATGAAATAGTTTATTTGATGAAATATTAAGTAATAAGTAATAATGAAATAAAAAGTAACAATAATAATATAAATAAGTGATAATAAAGAAATAAATATAAATAAAGAATATAACAAATGGGTGTATAAGAAATAATATGATATTTAAATAAAATTTGAAATGACTTGTATAATGTTGAAACATTCATAGTTTTCATTCAATTATTTCATTAAATAAATGTAATTTGAATAATTTAATTACTTCATAATTCCAATATTATATTTTATGAATAATTTAATAATGTTCAATATTCTATTGATTGATTGTTTTATTGAAAATATGTAGAAATACAAATAAATTGATAATAGATTATTCATGAAATACATAATGATAATCAACACAAATGATAATAATATATTTGATGAAGTATTTTAAGTATGTTTAATATGAAAGAAAAAGGTTTAATGTTTAAACATTGATGAAATGTTTTAATAAACATTAATATAAATTACATTATCATTAGAAATAACTAATGAAGTGAATTAAATAATCTATGTATTAAATTGATAAAATAAATTGTTATGATTAATTCTTTCTCTATTTAATTTATTATGACTCAACTTTTCTACTTCTAATTTTCATTACCAAACTTTATCTTAGAGATAATTCTTTGTATTTGTATGAATTGAATTTATAATAAATTATCAAACAAGTTGTTTCTTAATATTTGTCATTAAAATAAAGTTAATTACCATTTATAATCATTTCATATATTCTGTCTTAGTCTAATGGAACATCCCTATTCTCTATTGTCCATCCTGGATGTTCTGAAACTCTTCTCCTAACTTTAGCAGGATTTCCAACAGCAATCATATTATCTGGAACATCATGCGTGACTATACTTCCTGACCCAACAACCGCATTTTCTCCAATTGTTACACCTGGTAAGATGATTGCACCACATCCTATCCATGCTCCATCCTTGATGGTAATTGGTTTTCCATATGCTGTTCCACCACATGCGTTTCTGATATTTGGATCAGTTGAGTGTGTACCACCTATAAGACTAACATTAGGTCCTATCATCACATTATTTCCTATTTTCACTGGTCCACCTTCAAGAATATAACAATTAATGTTAATTACTGTGTTGTCTCCAATATCAATGAAATTCCCTCGTGTGCAATTGAATGGAGCAAAGACATTGCTATTTTCTCCTAAATGACCAACTATCCTTTGAAGGATTTCTCTTCTCTTAATAAAATCTCGTTCATGGTTGAAATCAAATAACTTATTTCCTAATGCAATTGATGCAGCAACTCCATCAGGTGTTGCTGGTATCATAATTTTACCTTCTAACATGTACTTTGTTTCTTGTTCAGCAGTGGTGTTCATCTAGTGTTTTATTGATTTATTATTTGTAGTATTGATTCTCATGAAACAATATATTCAAAACTATAACAAAATTTTGTTTAGTTGGAACTTCAACACCACCGAAATTTATGACAATTTGATTTGAATTTTCCTTATTTTTGATGCGTCATAAAGGATACTAAGTCAATGGCAAAAGCAAGAATAAACGAGAATGGTTTTCACTTTACATTAAACACCAGACATACAAAACATAAACATGGATGTCAAGAAATGTGGAAGTTTGAAAAGTTGATGAGATTTTGATAATGAAAGGAGAATGACATAATGAATAAGCAAAATGTAAATGTGAATAAGAAAAATAAGAAAAGAATAAGAAAAGTAAAGAAAAGTAAAGGGGAATGTTAAAAGAGAGGAGGAAATTGATATGACCAAATTATGGAGTATTGATAAACTAAAGAAGATATTCAATCAGGATATCTTGAAACATAAAAGAAAATACAATTAGAATATTTTGATCTTTATATTATTCACATTCCAATGATTTGAGATAAGAAAATAGGAGAAATTAGTGATGAAATAGTTACAAAAGAGAGATGAAGAGAGAAATGGAGAAAATAATTGACGAAAGAATAGGTAGAAGTATTTGAGTATTTAATTTCAAGAATAAAAAATTAGAAGAGTTATGAGCCATTTCTAACCAACCATGAATCAAAATGAAATTCATAAATATTAACAACAATGAAAGTTACAAAAAGTTGTAAAGAGCAGAATAATCACATCACAAGATATTCAACATTTAGAAAAGCATGAAATAGTTTGACAGTACTATTTGAGAATGAAGATGGTAAAGTTAATTGAAAACAATACGAATTTTGAATAAAATCAATATTTCAATTATAGAAAGAGATGTTGCTAAAAGAAATAAAATGAAGAATATACAAGTGTGTAACAAAACAAAATATTTAATAGAAGAATGAAAAGAATTTTTTTGATGAAGAATAAACAAAACAATAAAGTTAAAAGCGAAAATAATAGAATTGAATAAATTTAAAGAAAAACACGGGGGAATAAGAAAGAAGAAAAGATAAAAAGAGAAAGAAAAGAGAATTATATGAATATACGTAGAACAACTATTCATAGGAATAAAATGAAAAGAAAGATAAAAGATATTAACCAAAGAATTTTAAAGATAAAAATACTATTTGTTTTTTCATAATAATAATGTGATACATGATAAGAAACGAAAGAATATAAGATGTTAAAATGAAAATAAAATACAATGAAATCGAGAAATGAATGAAATAATGAATAAATAGAATAGAAGAAATACATTTAATAAGAACAAGAAATAGAAACAATAATTCAAAAAGTCCAAATATTTGAATAAGTAATGATAAACGGCAACGAAAAAAAAGCAAATAATTGAAAAAGAAGAGAATGAATGATATAAAAGAATAAAAAGAAAGTAAGAAGTAGAATATGATGAAGAAAGAATAAAAGTAGAAAGGAGAGAATATAAAAAGAAAGAAGATAAAGTGTAATAAAACAAAAGAGAATATAAAAGAAGAAAAGAAAGAAAAAAATAAAGGATGCAAATTTTATTGAAACAAATAAAAAAGTACAATAAAAAAAGCGCAAAATTTAATGATGCAAAATATTTAGCAACGGGTACGAAAATTAGCAAAGAAAAAATGCATCTAAATAATTTACAAAAAAGAAAAAAGATGCAAAAAAATTTGCATCCATAGAATATTCCATTTATTATATTTTGCTCCTAAAATAAATAAAAAGTATGATAAATACAGAATATGTAAATATTTATGTTTATATTTTATTATCAATTGTATTCATTTTGTATGAAATATTAATGAAATAGATGATTTGATTATTCATATTTGATTATTCATATTTGATTATTCATATTTATTTATATTCTTTTATTTATATGTTATTTATCTATCGTATTTTTATATATTTATTGTTATATGTATTTCTCTGTTAATATTATTTATATCATGGTGTTATTCTTATTATCTATATATTATTATATTATTCTTATTTTATTATTTTTATGTTTATATTCTTTAGACTTTCTTCTTTATATTCTTTTCTAT